TAACCAGTCTTTGAATATCTCTTACGGATGAATTCTTGAATTGATGAATACGGATGATTCTTAAATTCTTCAGAGATTGATGAATTTTTGAATACCATGTCATTGCTTAAATCTTGTAAACCATACTGACAAGCTGACTGCTGATTGGCACTTTTTCTGCTCATTTCTGATTAAAGCACGTTACCAAAGCTGAGTTTTCGCAAGTAGAGAGCTTATGCTCTTTTGTTTAGGACAACTTACAATCTCTCGCAAAGGCCTCTAACTTTTTTTTAACAATATCATGAACAGTTTGAATGCCAGTTTGACATTCTTTGGTAAGCATTATTGTTGATTCCCCATGTTCAAATCCTTCGATTAATGAAAATTTTTGTTCTGGTTAAAACAGCTTTCTTCTGCTTAGTACTTGTAACATGTTCTTTATCCATTTTTACTTCCTTGTACGAAGTAAAAAGGAAGTATTGTAATCGTGAAAAGTTTCAGGCAGCATATTTCAACGAAAATATCCATTTTGACCGCTTTCGAATGAAATTTAACGATGTTTTTGCATGATATCTGTACGTAAGGACAGAATAAAAGACTTTTCCTCCAAAAAAATTATAAAACTGCTTTAAAATGAATTCTGAAGAGAATTTTCCGTGGCGTCTATACGAATGTATGTACGTACGTACGTATCTCGCATAACTCAAAAACAAGTAGCCTCGGAACGTTGAAATTTTGTATATAGTACTGCTATAACATGTAGATGTGCACCTCGTATTTTGGTTTTAAAAGGCCACGCCAAACGTATATCAATATATTTATATATATATCCACTCTGTTACCCAGCTCTGTTTCTTTACTCTTATACATTTTTTGCTTTAAAAATGATTATGTTGTTCTTATCTTCCGGTTAAGGTTTTTATGCCTTTAATAAATCTGTATTAAATATTTTTAAAATTATAAAAATTATCGATAATTTTAAAGTTGTTTAAGTGCCGCAAAGCCTAATAATTTTTTTGATAGCAGCCATTCCATGTTTACATTTGAAACAGCAGAGTAGTGAATTTGTTGCCAATCCAGAGAAACGTAGCTTCGCAACAACAAAAATAACGGCTTCATTTATTATAGCGAATTAAATCATGCTTAATCCTTTCTTGAATTTTTTCGAGGAAATAAGTTAAGATTTACTTCGTAATTTTTAATACAGATATTTTGAGTTTTTATGTATTTTTGCCTTGTCGCAAAGTGAGAACTGAATTAATTGAATGAGAAATACTCAATCGTATGTGAAAAACTGTGTTTTCTTTTTTCTTTTTTTTGTTTGCTTAATTTCTTTTATACATCGTTCTAGCTTTATTATAGTATTTGAATAGAACATGTGGCAATGATTAGATAATTCTTTGAATGACATAAATTTTGTGCATTCTGAGTTATAATATGAACACAATATAATACTGTTAAGTGAACCTAGTGCCAGAGTGTCTCTATGGTAAACAAAGAGAGTGAATTTTAAAGAATGCATTTATGCTATTGTGATTTATGCACAGTCGGCAAAGTAGATTTAATTCAATCCAATAAGTTTAAACAAAATACAAGAAAAAATGCCTATAATTTAATATTCCGTACAAGGAAGTCATGTGGTGTACACATCAGATTTTTTAGTTCTAAAATTTAAATAAATTTTTAAAAGAATAGAAGAAAATATGCATATAATAAAAAAAAAATCCTCAGTGTGCACAAAACAAAAAAACTCTGATCAATGGAAACGATGTCTTTGACTATATACATGCAAAACAAATTACATAAGGTACTCACTGAAACTCAACTTATTTATATAATTTATAATAAAATGCAATTCAGCAGTTTTTAGAGCATGCTTTTAGACTTGGGCATGTTTATTTTTTTATACACTCGTGTGCACAAAGCTATACAGGATATACAAGTACAGTTTTTTCAAAAGAAAATACAAACACACTCCTACAAATTATTCTGAACAAAATTAATTATATCAAGAATGTGAGAGAGTGAATTGCTATACATCTTAAGTGTTCCGTTAGGTCTTGGGGCATTTGCAGAATAGACGATGAGTAAAAAAAAAAACGAGGCTTGCGATATCCAGTCTCTGAAATTCAAACAGTAAATTAAATCGAGCTTTACGTTCAAAACGCTAACATCATAATCTTGCGGAATGTAATTTTGAATTAGAAATGGGGCTTATTGAAAATTCTAGTAGAAATTATTTTGAATACCTAATACAGATTTCATTATCCAGTAATTATTTTGTTTTGATGGCCAAGCTGTACAAAAAGGACCAGTTTAGTTTATGCATGAAGTACATAACTTACAATTTATTCTGCTGCACTTAGAATTAGTCATTTTAAATATTTTAATAAAATTCAAATGATCTTATATAAATAAGTTCTCGTATGGTAGATGTTTTACAGAGAGACAGTAATTACAAATAGTTATGGGACTTGCACAAGTAAATGTGAGTAATAAAAGTACCAGGTGCAGTATCTTTTTATCTCCCCTTAGCACCATTAATGATCTGACTGCATGGTTATTTTTATGCTTTCTCCGTAGGTAACACGAGTACAAGCCAGTTTTTCTTAAAGTTGTCTACCTTCCTCTTAGGCAGATAATCCTTGTGGCTTTGCTATATTGAAATATCCTAACCTGTCGCACCATTAAATGAGCATGAAAATTTCTATTCATTTCTGTTGCACTTTGAAAAGCAATTTTAATCCTCTATAAATGATTGACACGTGTACATATCAGTTATATCAAAAGTTAAAAATATTATTAGACTATTTGCCTGTAAAGTCTTTCACAAAAACATTCCTTTTGGAAGACTATGAAACTGGGTTTTATTTAAATTACACTTTTATCACCAGGAATATTATCAGTGTTTAGCATCTTTAGACATACTACTGTAGAGCTTTTGCTTTGTGGTAAAAATTTTGAGACGGGCTGCTGTATATAATTTATAATTTTAAGTTTAGAAACTTGTAAAAATAGCCATAGGAAGTTACTTGGAAAAGAAAATAGCTAAGAAAGCTGTTATTCTAAAATAATTATCATATTTCACATTTTGAGAACATCATCCATTTATTAATATGCATATTTTGTTAATGGCAGTATACTTGGCATTTGTTTCTTTTATCATAGTAGCTTAAATAATATAACATTTTCCCATACCGTATAGTTATGCAATGGTTATCAGCATCCCAAAAAGTATAATTCAAGTATTTGGGTGTAAATATTCTGTTATAATTACTCGCACGAAAAAATGAAATATTTGAGGACTGGTTATCAAATTATAAGCATAACTATAATTAAAAGGAATTTTCAGATGCATCAGTACATATATGTGGAAAATTCTACATACTTATAGAAGTAAAAGAGTTCAGAAAGAATGATCTGATGTAAACAATCCATCAAATTTTAATATAAAGCAATATAAGTATACATGTACTGATGAGGGTACAAACTCCAGCGAATGTGTGTGTTGCATTTCAATTCTGCATTAGAGGTCTAACTTAAGTAGCATTGAGGTGATGATACGAGTCTCCATGAAACTCTGAGAGGCACTGAAATGTTAAATCTGTTAGGTTTCCAGAAGAGACATGATTGTTGGAGTGTATTTAGCCAGAACTGCAATTATGGAAGTAGCAAAGCTTTTTGGGTAGGCAAGGATCATAATATTGATCACAATAACAGCATACATGATAAGATGGCATTTTCAAACCACAACAATGGACAAAAGGCAAAGCTATAGGTGACTAATAAGGATAGACAGATGTTGATGCATAGTGACCGAGAAGCAATTGCTATCTGAATTAACTCTCATCTCCAGAACTTCTTCAGCCAAACTGCCAAATGGAACTCCATGCTATTTATTTATGGCAGAATGGCAAGCCATAAATTGTTCATGAGTGTTCATCACAGTGCTGTGCAGCTCATGAAGGCTGAGTACCACAGCAGTGGCAATAAGTATCTGGTTTGACAAAACAGCATTCATCCTATTTCAGAGCACTGGATACATTTATGTTTGGAAAACACCCACAGAAGCATATATATTAGATTGCCTCTTGCCAATTGTGAAGAATGGGGATGGCTCCCTATTGGCATGAGTTTTAAGTATCTTGACCCACTCATGGGCTGTCCTCATTCACTGTAGATTGCTCCACCTCATGAGTAATAACAGTTGATAATCTCTAGACAATATTTACCTGGTTGGGTAACCTACTCTATATGAGAAAATCAAAGCCAATCACTGTCAAAATATCCTGGCAGATGCTTTAAAATCAGAATTTGCATTATAATTTGAGTATCATATAGACAAGTGTCTATCAAACTCCTTATCCAGCCTTTATTTTTGCAACTGCTGATCGTAGTTATGTACTTCCAGTTATAAAAATGTTTTAAATGACACATTCATTTTTACTTTTTTAATTGAAAATTTCAACTTTGTAAATTAACCTTCCAATGCATTTAAATGCCCCCCTCCCAATTTCTCTAGATATGTCCCCAATTGCTAACATATTTATATTCATTCTAAAAATAAAATACAAAAGTATGATTTTCATATGAAAAAAATGAAGATATTTAAAAATTGAGATATTTGTATTAAATTGAGAATATTGAGGATAGTACGAAAAATTCCAACCATACCCAATATATTTTTGTCTGACATTCATCAAAATGTTGGATTGAGTATAATCATGATGGAAAACATCTCCTCGATGGCTGGTCAGTTCTAGATGCTTTGGATATGATTTTTACTTTTAAAATAGCCATTTGGAAAAGGTTTTTTCTAAATTTATTGTCCGATTTGATGAAAATAATTCAAAATACATATAATTCCTCTGTAGTTACATCATATGCAATACATTACTACTTTGGAATGCAATCCCTGTTATTAAAAGGAAGTTCCTTTTGATTACTTTATCTTTTTCTTACCACTTCTCATGTACAGTAATGAATCGTTTAAAAAAAGAAGCTTCTTTATTTCTTTTCAGCAAAGACTTGCATGCCAAAACTCGAGTAAGCTCACGCTGCTCTGTTGAAAGTATGGGTGCTTATACATACAGTGGCTTCTATATCCAGTCTTCTTCCATATACTGTATTTTTTAGAATATTTAGTTTGTGTGATCGTTTCTGAACCATAGAACAGATTTTCAGAAATAGTTTTTAACAGTTCCTTGTTTGTAGAGGGCACTCATTCAGAGTGGGCAACAGTTTTGAAGCTGAAATTTCCATGTTTAAACTTCTCAAACCATTTTTGAATTGTGTTATCAGAAACAGAATTTTGTTCATATACAGCACATGTTACAGTTCATTTTTTAAAATAAAAGAGAATAATATTACAAAAATGATAGCACTGCAGTGAAACAAAACATTATGTCACAGCACATGCTAGAATTATACAATGCAAGCAGAAGAGTTTAAACATCTGCTTCACTCCTTACAGGAATAATAAAATAATTATAAGAAAATGTGTTTTGATTCGAAAAACAGCAGAACTTTCCAGATGACCTTATATTTATTATGCCTTACAATGAAATAAATAAGGCTCATTGGCACAATTGCTAGCAGGTTGTACCACAGATCCAGGGTTCAATCCCCAGGCTGAGCAAGGTTGACTCAGCCTTTCATTGCTGTGAGTCGATAAAATGAGTACCAAGTTCGCTTGGGAACTAAATACCGGAGGTCCTGTGACATGTTGACAACCTGTCCAGGGCATATGCTAATGCACCTAGGTCATGATAGCAGAATATCGGGGCCCACTAGGGCTGTTGTGCCACTGAGTTTAGTTTAATGAAATAAATAATGGCAAGCCTTGAACTTAAAATTCATACATTGCAGAATACGAGGAATACTTTAAAAGTCAACTTTTTGGTTTCATGATGCACATGTGTAGTATATATAAATTGCTACAATAGTGTATCTTGATAAAATGCAACATACAATATTTTATATCTCTTTTAAAAATAAGTTATTGAAACATACTTCTTTTGTAAAACTCTGGAAATACATAAATCTTCATGAAAATTCTAGTGGACTTTAATAATTTTTGCCTTAAAATTAAATTACAAAATGATGATGTGAAATAAAATTTAGCAGTAATATCCAGATGCAATAAAAATAATTTGTTTCTGGAAAAAGACAGATGATAAAGCTTGGCATATACAGTCATGTTAGTGAGTTCACAGAGATTAAAAAGAAAATGCCAAAATTTCTTTAAAATATTTAATATTGTTTTGTCATTTTTAACATGCAAACAATATATCTATTCACATAAGACATCTCTGTATGTAACTTTCAGATTTAAAAAATAAATAAAACATACTTAAAAATTGCAAAAGTAGTAAAATTCCTTATTTCCCTCATGAGTTTTTACTATAATAAACTGATGTTACAAAAAGAATTTACAGTATATATTGCAAAATCAAACCTACACGTTATTCTACACAATTATTACTCAATTTTATAATACACAATGCATACAGGATAAAAGTAGGAATGATGATATTCAGTAATATAACATATTTCATAATTTTTAACCAAACTGTGTTCATACTATTAAGAATGTTGCAGAAAAATATTTCTCAATCAACAATAAAAACAATTTTTATTCACATTAAATTAATACAATAGAATATTCACATTTAAAATATTACGACAAATATTTAGAAGATTTGGTGCAACAATGTGGTAGAGCCATCTCGCCATGTGGGATCATCTGCTATTTGTGCTCGACAGATTGGGCATGTACGTTCTCTGTCAAACCATAAAGCAACACATTCTTCACAAAATATATGCTGCAATATAAAACATAATTTTCCTCAATATAAACATTTTATTAACGAAAACTATGAACAAAAATATTAAATTAGAGCATGCACTGAACTAAAAAATAAAATATAATCAATTTCCAATCTTCCAATGAAAATCAGAAAATTTTATTATTTTTTAATAAATAATAAAATTTTCAGTTCTTATAAAGTTTCCACAGTATACTGAATAGCCTGATTGCATGTCCAATTAACATAAAATTAAGCAAGATTCAAGTTTATACAAGATGTGTTTTGAAAAGACTGACTTGGATAAAGAACAAAAATATTCTGTATGGTACTTCTCTTCCTTATATAAAGCTTGCCAATACAAAAGCATAACATGACAGATATATCATATTTATTAATTAAATCTCACTTCCATTCCTAGCATATTTAAGTGTACTAAGTAGCTAAGTTTAATAAACGGCAATTTCCATACTGTAAATTGCGGTATCAACTTTGAACTTATTTAGTAAACCAGTAACTAACAATTAGACTCTAGTTGATGAAATTTTAAACTTTTAAAAATTGCTCTATCCATATTTCGTATTGTTCATCAACAGTCTTTTAACTGTATTTTCAAAATTGTAAAACTGTTGGTAGCTTTTCTAGTCTCCATATTTCAATTCATTCTTAGACTTTCCTCGATTAATCCGAGGTTGACATGCAATCACTTTATTCTATATCTCTCTCAGTTTCTGCAGCTCATTTTCCCATGCTCTCTCAATGTTATCATTAATTGCAGCATATTTTAAAAACAAATCTTTATAATTGATCTCAGTGATGTTAGAAATAACTTATAACTCCTCTGTGGCTTCTAAATAAAAACCACGTTTTCTAAAGTAATTTCTGTGTTTTGAGAGACTGCTTTCTATGTGTTAAGTATAATAATATGCACAACCCCTGGCAAAAATATCAACTTAGCTAGTGCTTCACACTGCTTGGATTTTTGCAATTCAGGTTTATCAATCTTTTTTTTTTTTTTTTTTTTTTTTTTTTTTTTTTTTTTTTTCAACTTTTCTGTAATGACATTTGAAAGCTTTTATATTACTTTGGTCTAAAGGTAAACAATAGAAGTCGTATTTTCAGGAAATAACACTAATTTAATGTTTCTCAAGACAATATCAGAGCATAGCGCAACACACTTATCTAACAGTAAAGCTATTTTTTCATTTTTCAATTCTCTGTCCCATTTCAAAGGGAAATCAGTAAAAACACTGCTTGAGTTCTTGTTATTATTGTAAGTTGAAAGGAAATTCTTGACTCCTTTTAATCCTCAAGGTTTATTACCTTTCCCAGTAAAAAATGTATCTATAGTCTGAATCCATACACACATCAATAACCAATAAGCTTTTTCAAATCTCTTTCTTTCTGTAATTGTGAGATCATCGTTACAATATTTTGCATAATTAAGTGAAATGTCTATACATATAATGTCGTTTCTCACCAGCTGTAAAATTGGAATCCTAGCTTTTTTTCGTAGCTTGAAATATAGAAAAGTAGTTCAATGTCTTTGATTTTCCTTCTTTTTCTTCTTTGAGACATTGCACAGAACCCAAAGTCCGTACAAATCTATAATCCGGACCTCAAAGGGCATGTGCGTAGAAAAGTTTACCCAGGCGCGCTCCGATAGTGAAAGGTTTTGAAAACAAAAAAATTTCGATTGACAGTTAGTCGGTATTCTCGACACAGCAATTACAGGACTTGAACAGTGGAACTTTGCAATTGAACAAGAAATTATATGTGTTTATAGAATTAAAGAGAGTGTATTAGCACAAAAAATGAAGCAATTTAAAGAACTTACATTGAAAGAAATGTTTAACAAAGTAAAGAAATAAATATCAAGTTTTTTTTTTTGTAAATTTTGATAGATCATAATTGCTCTTTATTTCATAAATTATGGTTTCATATTTTTAATTATATAATTTCTGCATGCCATCTGATCAGACTTAAATTCATGATCTATAATCCAGAAAAACACTTATCCGGAATTGACGAAGTCCCGACGAGGCTGAATTACAGACTTTGTACTTTATCAGTTTTCTTTCTTTCTATAAGTAAACTGCACAATGCTGTTTGGAAAATCCCCATTTTAAATGCTGCTTCTCTTTGGCTGCATTTACCAAATGCATTAAAATCTTTCAGCAATTTTTCCTTTTCTTTCAGGCTTAAATCATTTCGTTTAGGTATTTTTAACATGTTACAAGTCACACATACAGCAAATAAAAAAAAAATGTTTCCTCCACTGATTTGTTCAAATCCAAAATTCATGTTTCTTGCTTGCAGGAAGACTGCACCTTTGTCTGTCAAGTCAACCTGTCACTTCGTGGTTTTTATAGGTATAATGCTTTTACTTTTTTCTTCAGCCTACAATGATCACTCCCTTTTCCCAGGCAAAAACTGATAATATAGGATAATGCAGGGAAGCATTTCATGATGTTTTCTGAGAACACCTGCAAACATAATGTGCGTATTCACATATATCCTCCATCAGCTGGTGTTTGCGAAAAGGAATCAGTGTTCACTTAAGCGTCACCTATTGTTTAATCCTGGGAAACACTTATTCATTTATAATCAAAGAACTCATTTCCAGTGCCTCTAAAAAACTTATTGTTTTGTTAATCATAATGTATTCTGTCACTCTCAGCTCTAGTGCAGACAAAGAGATTTGCAAGCAGTGTCTAATAAGAACTAGTGTCCTAAGTCTACCAGTGCCCCACGGGGTCTTGGATCTAACTACACTGGACAAAGCTTCTGCTAATCATGTTTTATTCTACTTAACTGAAAGATATATGAATGAACTACAATCAGCCACAAATGGTTTATTAAATTAAATCTGAATTACCAGACTTTTGCCGATTTGAGATGAGTTTAATAAATGGTAGTTTTTCTATTGATTAATATGTATTCGTTTTGGTGCCTGGAAATTTGAACGTAATAAGCGACAAGCACTGTATTTCAAATAATTAATCTATATCAAAGTTTTAACCCTTAGCGCTCCTTCCGCACGTTTTTGTACCACTGCCTACCAGCAACTCCAGCACATTTTCGCAGCGGAACGAGTGTGAAGAAGGAGTTTTAATTTAAGTGAGAAGAAATACACATGCTTGTGAATGTTTTTGATTTTATTTATTTTATACATATGCACCTTCTTCTTGTAAATGAAAAATAAATTTTAAATTTTGTAATTCACCATGGTGGAATCAATCTCATCCATCTTTGGAAACAATCTCCCATGTGCATTCTGTGTTTATAATCAACATTTTCTTCCATAATATCTTCTAACAATGAAAAATTAAACACATCCTCACTATCACTCAACTCTATATTCTCATCACAATAATTGTTTTTCTGCATATTGCTAACCATAAAATGGGTCAAATAATGTTTCAATAATAACAGTAGCGAGACTGAGCACGTTTTAACTACAAATAACAATTGCCAACACTGACGATTCTGCAACATCTTAACCCTAATCGTGCTAAAAACATTGGGCTTCGCAGCGGAGCCTATAGAGTTACGGTACAAATGACCGATGGCTCTGCACTGGAGCCTACAGAGTTACGGAACAAATGATGGATGGCTCAGTAGCGAAGGCTACGGAACGCTAAGGGTTAAAATTATTTCCTAATTCATTCATTCATTTGTTTCAAAATGTCTGGAAAAACTACAAGAAAGGAAAGAATTCAGTGAGAGACCAATAAACCACTATTTTTGAACAAAATGCCCAAAATCAATTGGGCATTTCATTCAAAAATTTTGAACATTTGCACAATCATATTAGAAAAAAAGCATATATTTTTAACTGCTTGCAACTATCATATAATTAAGATAAATACAACAGCTCAGTGATTAAAATTATAATAAAACACTTTACAGCTTTCTGTCTAGGAACACTATCTTTATTAAGATTTTTTAAATGGACCTAGCTTGTATTTATTTCATACATGAGGAAAACTCAATGTAACTATTCTATTCAGACTAAGGAACAGAATCCTGAATGAAACTACCAGTATTCTAGTTTCAATTCTTCAACCACTAGTGAGCAAGGTAATAAAGAAGCATCATGCTTGCCTTTGTTTCCAACATTTAGCTTTTCTCCTATTTCTTTTCAAAAAGACTGCTACAATTTTGTACCAATATCTGATTTTGTTCTGTACATAATGTATATCAGGTTGAGTATATATATAATGTATATCAGGTTATTCATTCTCACCATAATGCAATTTGACATGAGGTTGTGCCAGTCACTGACCACGACTTTGGGCATCTTATAGATGATTATACCGTAATTTCCGGAAGAAAGGCTGCATCAGCGTAAACGCCGCACTCGAGAAAAATGGCGGGAAAAAAATTAAAATTACACAGAAACACCGCAATAGATTAAATTGCGCGTGACATCGTCGTGGGCCGTATAGACGAAAAAACTCAACCTAAGTCCTGATATATGACATACCAGTTAAGAAAAATGCATGAAATGAAACCATAACTCAAAAATAAATTAAAGGTAAAAAATGTATAGCTTCTGTGCCGTTTAGAGACATTTTCAAAAATTTTCCGCTCCCTTTTTACTTAAAAACTATCCAACAAGTACTTGTACCCAAACTGATGGGATCTGTATATGGCAGAATGCCAAGAAAAATCCATTCATGCTGAAGGGGAAATACGTCAGAGTTCGTTATTCCGAGGCAGGTGGAGTCATGTCCGCCTTTGAAAAAAATTGCAGAAAAGGCAGGGGTGGGGAGAGGATGGGTCCCGGAAGATTCATCGAATGGCAGAGGAGAGAGACCATTCAAACTGATGAGAATGTTGATTTGAAAGGGGGAAGAATGTTATTGTTCTGAGATCTCATTTAGGGTGAATAAGGCATGTAGGTCCGTTCAAGGGAAAGAATGTAAACAAAATAACGTTCGCAAAAAGCAACTGAGTGGTCTTTTGTGTGGGAACAGCACCAGTCTATGCACAATGACAAGGCCATCCAAACTATGTACAATGACCATCATAGGAAATATTTTATTTTTAATACACCTAAACGCCGCACCCGCTGAAAATTTAAGTTTTAAACACGTAAACAACGCGGCGTTTCTTCCGGAAATTACGGTACAAGTTTCACCAGCTCCATTCCAATTTTGATGGAGAACACATACTCGGGACAGGGCCAAGAGTTTTTTTTTACCTTTACCACCAACTTCTTAAAAGGACTTCAAACTTGAGAGCGTTTTAAGCATCCTCATGCCACAAAAAAAGTGTATATATATATATATATATAAACATTTAAGCTTTCTCTAGACTCTAACTTAGGGCACTAAACATTAAATCAATCAAAACAACTCAAATATTTCAAGTACACATCACAGAGGGGAGAATCAAAATACAATATGCTACGAATGAAAAATTTTAACTTCAAATAGAATATTAGAAAATTTTTAAATAGTAATATTACATTAACGAACTTAGCTATACGGACAATATAATTAATTAGAAATGTCTGTTAAAAGGTAGCATATATTACTTCCTTTCTAAAAGCAATAAATCATGAAAATACCAATAAATATGTTTCAGAAAATGTAAATGCAATATTTTTCAGCAATGCAGTTCTCTTTGGTATTAATAGATAGAATCTCTCATTGCCATATTTTCTTAAAAAGCATAACTTTGCCATTGATCTTTCCAGATGTACTCGCTAATTTCTCTGCATATGAATTATTGTACATTATAATTAGTGAAACAATTTTCTGGTAATTTTTTTTTTTAACCTCAAAATTTATTTTGGTAAGTACCGAGAGTAGTTTGTTATTTTATTTGATTATTAAAAAACTGTAATTCATCTAATGAGTTACACATTCTGAATGTTAGCTGACACATCAAGAATAAATCATATACACCTAAATTGCTAAGCAACCCAAATTTTGTCTTTGCCTAGCAATACAGAATAAATACATAGTATACCTTTATTAGATAACCTAAATGAAATTTATAAAAAATCTATTCCATAATAAATAAAATCTAAGATAATTCTAGTCCAGAAATAAACAATGTTCGATGATCAGATCAAAGATTTAATGACCAGAATTATTAATCAAATATATTTGTAATGTAAACTTACTTTACACTGTAACATTGAAGGGGACTTATAATCATCTTGACAAATTGGACATGCATCACCAGCTTCTTTGATTTCAACAGATGATGGTGTAACTCCATATGTCTATTGAAAATAAATTTAATAGGTTGTTTAGTGTGGTATAATAAGCATTTATTGAAATGCAAAAAAGTAATCATGATTATATATATGATATATATATATATATAATATAATATATATGATATATATATATAATGACACATATATAAGCATCTGTTATGCATGCAAGGTTTCTAAGAATTGATCACCTATTAACATTATTAAATTCAAATCTGTTATAAATGTTTAATGATGTTAGCACTTTGTCAATAACAGCCATTTAGCATTAATTAGTGTTAACATATAATAAAGTTGAAACTAATTCTCAAGATGGAAAAAAAAAAAAAAAAAAAAAAAAACACTTTGATATCTGTGTTAAAATCTTGTTAGATTACTGACCAAGACTTAAATTGCAGTATGAATTAAATTACAGTATTTTAGCGTGAATGACGACATACTTGTCTATATGATTTTAGACTGTATATAATATTCACATGGAATAAACAATATAAAGCACAATCAAGTTGATGAGTAATATAGGATGAGATTGGTCACTGATATAATAGTAACACTTGCATATTTATAAAATAAATACTAATCGGTGAAATTTGTAAGGAAATATAGAAATTTAATTGTAAAAATGTATTGCAGGCAACAAGCCCTGCAACAGTAAGACAGCCCTGCAACAGTATTTGTAAATAAATTTCCTAAATAGAATTAAACTACATAAAAATTGCTTATTAGGATTTTATGAACTGCTCTAATGTTTTACTTTTGCACTCAAAGTTTAATTTTAATAACAAATTTTAAACCATAAATATCCATAGCACTTGCAATACCAGCAGTCACATAATAGTGAATATTTTAATATTATTATAAAATAATTATAAATAAGTAAATGATAGTTAAAAAACCTTCCCTCCCCCCAAAAATTAGCTAAAAATACATAAAAAAATAATCAAAAATATATATATCACAATAAAAATCTTTAAATATCCAAACCTAAAATTTTACTTCTTAAATCTGGGGAAAAAATTGCAAAATGAAAGAATATTTTAGTAATTACATGAAATTTCTTTTTAAATGATTCAATCTGAAATTTGTTAAAACAATAAAAAATTACTTAATGCATTTACATTTTTTATGGAAATGGAAGGCAAAGATATGCTTATAAAGTTTGCTAGCTCTCATAAGAAAGTAAATAGTTACAAAAGCATGTGTTTAAACTCAGAAAAAAAATTACACTTTAAAAATACAATTAATTTGCTTTAATTTGGTAATCAATTTTAATACAAATTGGTTTTTATGTATGTCAACTTTTTATTTTGTTTTTTAACGATTAACACTTTGAAGACTACAGAAATAAAATTTATTTTTCAACAAACTTTACAGACCTGATACACACAAATCTATAGCAAATTGATTTGAATAAAATTTCCAGTTTTTATGAGCAGACTGAAAGGTCATAGTTGCTGAGCAGTGCTTTAACTTATTCATGCTTTTTGGCAGCTGATATTGTTGATATATTTTTTTGTAGTATTCATAATATTAAGAATATGCCCTTCCTCTTCTTTTGTGTGTGGGGGGCTGTTGAAAATGAAGATGTGAGGAAACATGTCCTTATAACAATTCCCATGCTGGAAAATCTAAGTATATATTAAGAAGGTGAATGCATTTCGCACAATAAAACAATACAAAGTACCTGCACTTTGTATTGTTTTATTGTGTCAAATGTATTCACCTTTTTAATATATACTTAGATTTTCCTTTTACATAATTAACTATATTTCACTATATACCTTGTAAAAAGAATTACATTTTATAAATTCATTTTTATTGAAAAAGTATGTTTTCACTTACATCATAGAATGTGAAGAATAAGACTTAATTTGATGTAAAGTATATTGGTTTTTTAAGATAAGATATTCAATACCATACAGCAAAATTAAAGGGAAGGTGTTTAGATCTTATCAAGCAAAAAAACTAGAGGACCAAATACATTTGAATTCGAAGTAAATGCTTTTAAAAATATTTTGAAAATTCACCACCAAATGGAAAATGGTACTGTAAGCGGAATTAATATGCATATTTGCACTCAAATACTATATAATGCAAATTTCAGTGAACCAACATTATCAAAATCATGGATATTAGCCTGTCAAGAATGGTGTCATTCCAACACTTGGCACTGATGTGATTGTTACTATTAATATATACAATGGTTTGCTTACATGATCATTCTTTACTTAAAAAAACTTTTATTATCAGAATAACAGTAATGCTTCTGTTGTATTTCAATTATTCTGAACAGTGAAAAGCTAAAAGAAATATTACAAGACTATAACAAATTTGCAAAAAATTATCTCCCATTATGAACTAAATGGATTTTTACAAGTACGATCAAAATGAGGGGCCCTATTCATAACACTTGTAATGACAATGTTAAGCATGGTTTAATGAATCATGTACTGTTCTGATGTCATTAAATCCATCATTCTGGTATTCTCATAACCCCAGTTGTTAAATCTGATCTTTAAGTTGTTGACAGTAGAACTTATGGATAAGTTTGAAGGCAGCTTTAAGAAAAATAGCAGCTATTCTTTAAGTAAAATGGTCAAAGCATTTACAAATGAGGTGAAGCTAAACAGTACTTTGTAGAAATTCTCATACATTTTCAAAGCTCTGGACATACTGTTTTATCAAACTATACTGTTAATAATAAAAGAATTTGGTTTTTCAAGAATGTTACCTCTTTAAATTATAGAATATTTAAACACTAATAAAAATTAGAATATTTAAATATAATATTTGTATAACTAAGTTCAATTTAATGTTTTGAGAAATAGTTACAATAAATAATTTATATGAACATTTAACACATAATCATGAATTCTGAATGCTATATTCATATATGTTCTCTTTTATTTAAGTATTTTCCATATCTATTCAAGGAATTATAATGGTGCTTTAAGACATTACCCTGAAAAGTTTACACATATGTATTTTAATATAGAAAAGTTAGTTATACATATTCACTGCTAAATTTAATTTAATTCATCTGTTCCTAATGTTACACTTATTATTCAATGAAATTCTGAGTTATCCAATGTTTCAGTTTGCTACAAGAATTTTTCATCTCGGGCATTTAATCTTTCCCTTTTCTCCCAATCTCGTATGTACTTGATAGCTCAACAGTATTGTTTGCACAGCAACCTGTCTAAAATGAAAGCTTGTGCCCTTTTTTTTTTTTTTTGCTTTATATTGTAATCATCATACTATATTTATTAATTATTTTTAATCAAGTTTTATTTTTTAACTAAAATATATTCGTTTTCCATCAATATGTGACTATGTTTTCCTCTCTGACCTTTTTTATTGAGTGTAGAAATATACTTCAAATACATTAGTGCTAAGATTTTGTTTATATTGGCTTTTGTTATCAGATTTTCTGTTTTGTTTATAAAAAACAGATAATTTGAGTCCAAATAATTTCTGCCAGTATAATTTCCATCATACATATAATTTATAAAACCTAAGCTTAGTGAACAAATTCCATTTATTGTTTTAGATTTTGATTTTTTTTAATCATTATTCATTGCGTAAATTGTTGTCTATAAACGTTTAAAAAAAAAAAAAAAAACTTCATGCATTTTGCAAACTGAAATCAGTTCCCTCTCCATGATTTAAAATCCTCCACAGAACTACACAGCAAAATCTGTTTTTTCACCCGTAATTGCATCTTTTGATATCATTTGATTGACTAATTTTAGTGAAGTTCCTAAACTCTCAAATGAAGGGTGCTAATGGCAAGAATAAAAATTTAACATACTCTCTTTATATTACTGGATCATCCGACCACTTGCTAAATAAAGATCGCTATTTAACATGAATGTGACGAAAAAGAGCTTGAAGGCAACATAAATCAATAGCAAATGAAGAACTCTAAGATGCTGCATGATGTCTCAAGCAAAAGCTGATGCTCCAGATGGATGTAACATTGATCATATAATATCCATGCAACTAAATATGCTATATTTGACTTCACAGAAAAGGATGTACAAAAATGCTCAAGTTCTTCCCCTAAAAGATTAACCAATTCCAATAGCTATTTTTAGATAGTAAAGAAATGTGCTTGCTCCATTATCAGTTGTTCCCAAATCAGAAGAAAGTTAACTATGCATATTTTTTAAATACATTTGAAGCAATAAAGCACTTTTTATCTGAATGGCACTTTCAAATACAGCATTGTCATATTCCAGCTAAGAAAAACTCTCTAACTCTTGCAGCCATTGAGAGTGACAGAGTTGTACAACTTCTGTTTATAGTAGCTCCATACTTTTTGAAGAATCCAAACCAACTGCACCAGTGACTTGTATTGTCACTATAACAAGATATCAACAAATACTGCTCAATTTCATTATTCTGCAACTCACTGTGAATGTTCTGACACAACTGTGTTTACACAGAATGAAGCATTTATTTTTTAAATAATATCTATATAATTTATAATACATCTAATTTATTCAAATTCTCAAGCATCTAATTTTTGTACATATCTGCCCTATTTTAGTAATTTTACTTTTTAAAAGATGTTTCTATGCAATACATAGCATTCCTTGGTAGAGAATAATTATTCGCATGATAACCAAAGAATTTATAATGAAAATTTCTTGTTCTATTTGTTGCATGATCACTTGTACACAATACTTCATATGTACATGATAAGTTTCATTTTATTCATTCCAAAATTAAGGAAAGGTGAGTTATGTACACAAGTGAAAAGATTTGTCTATAAATCTTAGGAAAAGCACACAGATAATGTCATTTCCCAATGATGAACATACATCACCAAGAAAAATATTCTCAATAAGCAAATATTACTAAAAAGTTTCTATTTTTCCTGCATGCAGAAGAAAGCGAATATTGCTCCAAATTACTTTTGATGAATCACCAACAGTAGTTGGATCAGTAGCTGCCTCCAATGTTTCCACTTTCCCATATTGACAGTGATATTAATTTTCTTGCTCTAAGGATAATATTGTCGTAATTATAAGATAATCACCATGTAGTGTCATAGGAAAGTATGCTCACTATCATTTTGAGTTCCGCAAAAACTTCAGAAAAACATTCACAAATATGAATTTCATCATCTCATATTGAAACTTCATTCTGAGAGACTAGAATAATACATAAATTAGAGCTATATATTCATATACTTCTTTGATTTGGCATTTTATCACATTTTCTAGATTGAAAAAAATAAATCTAGTCAACTCCTAAGCACACACAGCAATGAAGAATATACATTTAAAAATTTTCAATATTCAAAATAATTTGAAGATCTCATGAAAATTTTACCTTGCTCTGAATGACTTGTAGAAGAGTTTTCTTCCATAATTTGGCTTTTCTCAGAATACTTTTACACTATAAGAAAATATCAGTAAATCATACACATACACTGAAATATTAAAAGTGTCACAGAATATTAAGGAGAAACTTATACATAAAATACAGAGAACTAAATTTATAATGCTTTCTCTACTAGAATAGCAAATGTCCTCATAATTAAAGTACACAAATTCACTGGTTTGAGAGACTCCTCTGATTTCATATTGTATTGAATTTTAAAGGTATTAGAAGATTAAAATACAAATTCCAAATATTCCTTCTTGTGGATATAATGGCCACTTTACCAAAGGTTAATTTCTAAAATTAGAAGTGTCAAAGCCCTCAGGGAAGTGAATAAAAATAATAAAATAATCAACAATTAAAATCAAATGTAAAGAGAAATTTTAAAAGTATAAATTAAATTAATGAAAACAAATAATAAAACTTCAGAACACATTTCATTGGAACTCAGGTGGAATTACAAATTTCACTCAAAACTGAGAATTACTGGGGTACTTCAGCTGAATTTAAGCTCCGTATCTACCTAGAAGTAACTTTAAGTAAGGAAAAATATATAGTTTCACTCTCAAACAACACATTACTCCATAAACCTACAGCAGAATTCCACACACTGTGATCAAGGTCTACACGAATTTTAAGTAAGTAAAACCCACTCATATTTTACAAATTATTTAATATAAAACTTTTATTTTTTTTTAAATATGATTATATGAAGAAAAGTATTAGTACAAGAAGATACAACAAATAAAAAAAATTAATGTGAAATTTTCAGAACCCTTGTTTTTTTTTTTTTAAAGGGTCTTAAGTATTTTGTATAAAATAAACTGTATACCTCCAACATCGAAATTACTTTATTACTTTTAAAATAATTTTGATACACTCTTTAAACGAAAGGAATAATGAATAAATTGTATTGTTCATAAATACCTGATCACAAAGTTTACTATAAAAGGAATCTTATACCATTACCCATATTGCATTTCACACATATGTAGTTTCATTAATAGTAGAACTAGCAATTAATAAAAAATGCTAGAACTGAAATTTCTGATTTATTAAAAGAAAATTTCTCTACCTTTAAATCCCTTTCTCTTTACCATGTTTTCTATTTTATATGTCAGGAATTTGCAATCAATGTAAATAAATTTGCTCATAGCTCATCAACTAGCACAAAACTAAAAACGTAATTACAAGTAAACACCTTAGAAGCTGTCTACAAATAATTTTTAATACATGTTTATCACATAAATTTAACTTTAAAAACAGATTACACACCTCAAAATAGAAATTAACCTAAAATGAAAAATATGATTCACAATCTGTATCTACTGTAAAAAAGAAAGTACTAATGTGCTTACAGAAAATGTAAATAACTTCAGTAATAACATGAATCTGCTTCTTCAACTGAACTGTTATAAATACAATATGTTTTTTAAAAATTTATTTACATATACACACAAGAAGGGGGGAAAAAACTGCCCATAATTTACTTCCACAAAAGAGGCTAAAATACAGGCATCTGATGATTAAGTGGACAACAGATTAGGAGAATTCTACTGCATTCTATAAAATAGGGCTGTTCAGTATGCAGCCTACGACCTTATTTTCTGTTAATTTATTGTTTGTGCTTTGAATCACAAACAATAAATTAACAGAAAATTATGAAATAAAAAATAACCGAACATCATTCAGAGAACAAAGAAATCACACTGAATACTGTTTTGAGAACTGGATGTAAAAACAAAGGGTCGACCAGCATTTTACTTGAAACTAAAAAAAGAATATTGTCAATTCAGCATCAGTACACCAGCATGGCAAACTGAAAAATAATTCTTCAAGACACCCCTACAAAAAATGCGTTAGGACGCTTATTTCTACAGACACATACAGGTGCAGACAGTTTGGCAAGAGTATTCTTCTGTTAGACAGACAGCAGTTTAAAATTATTTGTAGTCATTTTGTTCTAGCAACTCTAAAGTCTTTTAAGTGAAATACTCAGTGAACTAAGCCTTCATAGAAAAGAAAAATAATCAACAAACATTGAGTTTAAAATGACTGTTGAGAATCAGATTATTTAATCCCAAGCAACAATAATAAACTTCAGTGAATTGTTTATATGCAAGTATTATTGACTCCCAAAGAATATAATATGAAATGACATTACACGAGAAAATGTTTCAGCAATATACAGGGAAGTCAAGAAAGGCTATCATAACAGAACATAAGAAAAAAACAAACTTTTTCAAAAAATCTGACCTGATAACAAGTGCAATATTGCCACTTCTTACGAAGTAGCACTGGAAATTGTCAAAGTGAAAAAAACCTTTTAGTGATGGAATGATTATTAAAAATTGTGCAATCAAAATGGTAAAACAATTAATTCAATGAAACAAAAATTGCCAAAAAATTCGAAACAGTGTTGCACCAAACAATTGCAAGACGGGTAGACCATATTAATATGTATCCAAAAAATCGCATGACATGGTTGAAAAATGTAAATAATTTTCACTATGCCTGGATGAAAGCACTAATCTGTCTGACATTAACCATCTTGTAATTTTTACCCAAACTATTCAAAACGACTTCAGTGTAGCAGAGAAGATGCTTAATCTTATTTCCCTCCATGGTATAACAAGGGTACAGATACTTTTGAAGCTGTAAATAAGGTGGTGTTGGACTATGAGGGATTCAATAAATGTTCCGGTATTGTCAATGATGGAGCCAGAGCTATGATAGGAACTGGAATTGGATTTTCAGGACTCTTGAAACAAAACAACAATCCTGTGATGCACTCACTGTATTGTTCACCAAGAGGCCCTATGTGGAAAATCCTTATGTCAAATTAATGTCATGAAAATTGTTGTTAAAATAATTAATATTATTATAGAGGCCGATCATACTTTGACTCGCAGAGAGTTTCGTGATTTTTTGGCTGAAGTAGATGCTACATATGGGGACTTGTTTAACGCCAGAAACTGTTTGCAACGATTCTTCGGTCTACATAAGAGTTTCCTATATTCTTTAAAGATGAAGTGAAGTCCGACACTACGAAACTGGAAAATCAAATGGTAGATGCACAATTTTTAGCAGACCTGATATCTCACCTTAAGCAACTGAATTTGAAGCTAAAAGGAAAACAGCAGAATATTGCCAACTTACAGATGGTGTTCACACATTTTTGTAATGATTTTGATTTTCTCCATGAATTTAAATATGAATTTTAAAATATAAATGTGATTGGCATCAAATTAGAATAAAATATATTAATTGTTTGCAGCATTAAAAGTATTCTTTTCTTTAAAATGTTACTGAAAAATATACAATGGATCTAAGGGTACATTTTTGCGCTGTCCGAAGTGAAATACTCCGATTATTAAAAAAATATGTGAAAAGCATGGTTTTATTACTTCTACATGTAAAATAATGTGACATAATTAATATGAAAGGAAAGAAACATCAAAGTTTATATCTGACTGGGAAAAAGGCAAAAAATGCATACCCAAGGAAGGTATATACAGCTCTTATTAAATCTAAAGTTGCATCTCATTTTTTAAAGGAAAATCCAGCCCCCTTCCCCCAAAGAACTATTTGCAAACTCTTTAAATATCTCTGTAAGAACTGTGAACAAATTTATATAAAATCAGATTTAAAGCTAATTAAAACAAAAAAGAACATGATGTTCATTGCCTAATGCCGAAACATGTTTCTCAGCTTAAGACTATATGCAGATTGCTGTATGAAAATTATTTGGCAGGTGAAAAATGGAAATATATAGTTACAAGAGACGAGACTTGGATATACTTATCTGACTGTAATAGAAAAAGATAGATTTACTACCAAAAAAGAGGAGAAAAATATGTTCGTTCAGAGAAAACAAGGAAAGTTTTTCTTATGGTTTTACACTTATTACTGGATTCTCTTATAACGGGAAAACTTTAAATAAGTAGAAAAAATGTCAAAATTAATCCAAATAAGTAGAAAAAAAATGTCAAAATTAATTTGGATTACAATCAGAAATATGTTTTTTAACACCTATTTTTAAAGAAAAAATTCCATCTCTTTATCCAAGCAATCTTTATTGTGCAAGTTCCATCAAGATAAGGCTACCTCTAAATCTACTGCTCTATTTTTTGGGGGGAAAAAAAGAGAAAAAGAAAAGAAAAATGAAACTGGAATTGAAGCTATTCCCATTAAAGGCATTCCCACCCAAGTCCCCTCATGTGTTTCCCATGGATTACTGTGCATATGGACTTTTAAAACAAGTTCTTTATAAGCACAATCCCAAAACATCGGATGAACTCTGGAAGATTGTGAAGAAGGAGTGGAATAAAATCAACCTTGATGTTTTAAGAAAAGGACTTTTATCTTTGAAATCAAGATGAAATATGACAGTTCAACAAAAGAGCTATCAGACTGAACACATTAGAAAATAAAATTCTCAAGTTTGTTTATATATAAATCTTTGCAAAATCATTACAAAAATGTGTGAACATCCTCTGTATTTGAACACATGGATTTAAGAATAAAATTAAGCTTTTCAAGTCTTCATTAGAAAGAAAATTATTTTTCATTTTTTTCCAAGCTGTAAAGAGCATTTTTAAGAAATGAAGGATTTTGAAGAAGTTTCATATTTACCTCAAATAAAATACATTGACATAATTACAGAAGAATTGGATCGATTTAGGGACTCGAAAATGGAAAGAGAGATTTCAGTTTTTACTCAGCCCCTTACAATTTCTGTTCAGAATGTAAGCAGAAAAAGGAAGAACTGAAACTGGATTGGACTTTTCAAGTTGCTGCCAAGAGAACAATATTCGAACTTGCAAAACTTCCATTGGGCTCCCACTTAGGGCTTCCACTGGGAAGCATGTATCTTTGCGAAACCAGCTTTTCCAAGATGAAATTTATAAAGTCAAAATATAGATGTTCCCTCTCTGATAAGTCACTTACTCAGTTTCTTCGTTTATTAGCAACAAATATTAAAATTAATATTGATGCATTAGTTGGTAAAAAGCAACATCTTCAAATTTCCCACTAACTTTTTTGTCATTTGATATATTTTAAATAAATTAAAATAACAAAAATTTCTTTAAATACCATATCATGAACACTCACTGATAAAGTTGCATATGAAGTATTTTATAATACGACCCTCTAAACCTCACTTTTTTTTTAAGTGGCTCCTGGGCCACTCGAAGTTGGATAACCCTGCTACAAGACAGCCTTTCAGATACCCAGCCATCCAGACAACATTAGTACAAGTAATTCAAATAATAAATTTAAATGCTGTTAAATAAAATATCATTAACTTCAGAACATATTATTAATTCCTTATACTATCTTATGAGTAGATTAATTACGTATTTACATATTAATGTAATCACCTTGCCGAAATTTTGCGATTTTTTACAGATGAAAAGGTGGGAGTTACTTATCAGGTGCAAGTTGGCAGTTTTTGTGTTTTTCCCCCCTCAGAAAGATTTCATAAACTCAATATTTATCAGAAACCATTAAACACTACATTATTTATCAGTAAATGATAAGTTGGTATACATTATCAGCATACGAAGAGAAAACATACTTTAGCAATTTAAAAACACAATTTTCAATGATGTAATAAGGATTACATGATATATTAAAATAAAACACTTGCATTCTTCTTTAAATCTTTCAGCAATTTTTAGCTCTATTCTTGTCTCTAACTACACAGCGATCTATTTTCACTTAATAAAACATCAGAGAATTGTGGAGAGTGAGTTGACTTTGAGTAAGCCCTGGCAACAAAGCCTATCTAGAAAATGCATTTATCGTTTGTTCCCTTTGGAAAACTTTCAGAAAAATTCCTTCAGAAATTTTACTGCAGTTTCTTAAATTGCTGGCAAATTCAACAAGCTCATATATTATAATTAAATTTAAGACAAAAAATATCCCAATTTGTTTATAAAAACTTTCAGAACTTGAAATACAATAAAAAAATACATACGAAAATGGCGGCTCTGCATGACTGAAGGATTGTTATGAGCATGGTTGCCAGGTTTTGGCACATTCTAAAAATCTGGTGACTTTTACTAAGGTGGTTCGTTAATACACATGTACCATTATTCACTAGTATTACACAGTTTTATAAACAAAATTTCAAGATAAAATTTGTTAAAAGTTAATAAATATATAATAAAAAATTCAAGTTGTGTGTTTATTTAATGGAAAATATGTAAAAAAATATTCTTTTCAGGGGGAAAACATGAAAGTTTAAATGTAGATTTTCTGACAACATTTTGGTAGTTTTTTTCAAAGCCTTTGGCCCAGAAACTTGGTGGTCATGAGTCCGAAAACAGATCAATCCCATTTCAGATGTCCTGTGCAGAATGGAATACAGCACAGGCAAGATGTAGCTGCAGGTGTGAAAAAAGGTTGCATACTGATCTTCTTCCACAAGTTCTTGCAGGTGGGCTTCATCAACATCAGTAGGTCGGCCAGAACGCTCTGCTTTTTTAATGTCGTATTCCTTGTTTTTGAACTTTCGGTACAAAACCTTTACAGCATCATCTAATAAAACATTAGTACCTAAGGCTGTACATATGATTTTGTGACATTCTGTAGCTGAAGGAGCAATGACGGGACTAAATGGTTGGCACAGCAAAAGATCCCATTTGAGTCCATACAGAATTCAGCCAGTGAATGCAGACACATGTGGTCTTGCATTATTTTGATGGATTATTTTGATTGCATTATCTTGATAGATTATATTGATTGCATCATCTTGATGGATTATATTGATTGCATTTCTCCTCCTAGTGTATGAGGAATATCTTTTTACATCTGAACTCAGTTCAATGTTTTTCCTTGATAGCCTCAACACAGACTAGCATCTCACTGTACACCTTACTGTTGAAGGTTTTACCTTTTTTTCAGATACTCTCTGTGGATAATACCACAGCACCACCAGATACAAAGCATGATCTTTTTTGTTAGTCAAATTTGCAACACTGCCAAGGAGCCACCAGGCACAAACAAACCCTCTTTTCAGCCTGTGTTGTTGAACAAAATACACTTTTAATCAGAAGTGAAAATCCAGTCTAGAATTCTGTCCTTGCATTGATAGTCGGGCAGATTAGTGCAGGCATGAACACATCTGTCCGTATCTGCTTGCGTCAGCTCATACAGCAACCAGTGATTGAACTTGTACGTCAACTTTATGCGACGTCTAATGCGACTAATGGACATGACATTAACGTGTAACTCCTTAACAAGCTCTCAAGTGGTTGCATACTGATCTTCAACAAGTTCTTGCAGGCGGGCCTCATCAACACAAGTAGGTCGGTCAGAACACCCTGCTTTTTGAATGTCATATTCCTTGTTTTTGAACTTTCGGTACCAAACCTTCACAGCATCATGTAATAAAACATTAGTATCTAAGGCTGTACATATAATTTTGTGACATTCTGTAGCTGACATTTTGCAATAGAACTGGAAGTAAATGATGGTTCTAATCTGGTAGCACGATAGTTCTATTTCAAATACCTTGTACTTAATGATAACGATATTTTTTACAAATTTAACAGCACAGTTTTCTAGAGCAAGTCTCTTTCAAATGCCAAAAATAATTTGATAAAATATGATTAAATATGCCAATGTGAACTGTTTGTGAAGACGATATTTTCAGTGGTGAGAAAATTTTAAATATAGAAATAGATAAGAAATATAGAAATACAATGTATTTTAAATATAGAAAAATGGTCACATTTAATATATTGAAAAAATAATTATAGATAATAAAGCTGAAGATGAATAAAATGATCATTTAGAAGACATTCAAAAAATAATGCTGAAGAAGAATATTCCATTTGTACTTGAACTAAAAGTATTCAATAAATCAGAAAGTTATGAAATGCTTCATGTATGACAATACAAATAATAAAGATGTATAATACATACTTTAAATATTAGATATGCTGCAGAAAGTATAACACCAAACACTTTACTAGGGCCAGAATATGATTCCGAGAAGAAATACAACCAATGTTGCATTGGAGCTAATGTACGATAAAATTGGGATGTGCGCTCAATAAACAGGTAATACTTTCCCTAAACAAAAAATAAAAATTTAAGAAATTTTGTTGTATGTATCCCAATATTTAATATATATAATAAGAAATAATATACCTACCTTCTTTTGGTATGCAATCAGTTTTGCAGGCAGAGCAACAAATATGACTTTTAAAAGTATTGTAATTAATTTCAACACAAAATCTGTTATGGAAACAATCCATAACACAAACCATATATCTACTGGAGCAGTATAAGGTGGCACAAATACTAACCTGTAAAATATAATAAATAATATACTATTATATATATTTGTATATGTACATTAGATATCCAAGCATGTAAGGAAAGCCTAAATTATTCATCCAATCTATTGAAACAGCACATGTGACAGCTAATATTTTCAATAAAAAGATAAAATAAAATAAAAAAACTGATGAACAGTACATTTCGAAGTCCAAAATCCAGATCTGCAAACTACCAATACAACTCCTCCCCTCTCACTAACTGTAGGAACGGAGAGTATACTCAAAGAAACTTATGTGGCATAAATGAAGTTTTACTCTCGACTGACTGAGATTCCTGCATATCATTTTCAAACACCTGCTGGCAAAGGAATCGCACCATGGCCAGTGACAATATATCGATTGACACTGTACTGATGTGGCCGCAATCACATTTTTCGCCCACGAGTGGTTGAGAAAGGACAGCATTTTTCTATGTGACCTAAACAATATGTGAAGCCATGACATCTTTCTACACTTAAAATGATGATTTAAAATTCAAAAATTTCCGAATGTCTGACTTTGTACAAGATTAGCCCAATTCTGCTCTTTCACGTTGGTACAATATGACATTTTTCTATGAATTTTAATAAAACATAATACCTACAGCTGGATATGAATTTTAGCCTTCCAGTACACGTGCTTGGCAATTTTACATGAGCACGCGAGCGTCGTACTTTTTAAGACATCCGTTATTTTACCGTTTTGGGCAAGAAAAACAACAGAAATGAGTGAATATTGATAATAAATTTGTTAAAGAAATAAAATATTAATCTTATTATTGCAAAATACAAATGATATCGCATTAAAATATAAGTAAAAGTTCTCATGTTAGTGAGAGGGAAAAAATGCAATGCAAAACTGAGTTTGTCGTAAATTTTGCGCTTACGCACATGGTGTAATGTTAATAATTATCAAAAACATAACTATACACAAATCTTCTAGTCTATTACCCCATACTTTTAACAGGGCTCTGCTCCGATTCCTAAATCTAGACAATCACCCCCTTTAAAATTAGGAGGATCAAGCTTAGGTTAACATAATTTTAAATAAAACTAACAGGTTCGAGAGTGGTAGGTCTCTTTTCTGTCAAAAGCAGCATTGTTAGAAAAAATTTTAAGCATAAGTAAAAACATTTCTTTACCATCTGAAACAATATTTTCACACCACTAATGTTAATTACTTGAATCTCTGATTGGAAAATAAATATGCATGATCTGGGTCATTAGATAAAGAGATTTGAATGACCCAAGTCACAATTCAAGTGGTAGCATGCAAAATTAAAATTATTTTTCAGACAAAATTATCAAAAAATTTTTTGGGGATATCAGGAATTTTTTTATCTAACTCTTGCTGACTTCTTTTGATGATGTCTCTTGAAGGGCAAAGTGTACAAAATAAACCCTGTACAATCAAATAACTCAAAGACACTATACACTAAGACATTAATGCTAGCATATTCAGAAAGGCATTCCAGAATCTGAAGAAAAGCATTCAAGGGTGCTTAGATGTAAAAGAAGACCCTCTGAATACAGATTATGAGTACATCTTTACACTGTTAAAGATAAGTATGTAACTCGGTAGCATAATTTTTATTGACAATAGATTGGGATCTCTAGCCATGGAATCACAAAAATATATTCTTAAATATATGTTCCATTAAATCACATACTGAATCATTAATGAATGTAGTTCAAGAAAAAATTAAAATACTAGTTACTTACGCAAAAGCCAAATTGTGGTCTGCAAGTATAGTATATATAACCAGAATTGACATGACAAGATTCACAAAAATTAATAGCAAACTCTTGAGCCGACGTTTACCCTGAACAAGAGAAGAATAATTTAATTGGTTTGGTCATTTATTTTCACTTACATATATATTAAAGAGTAAGAAAAAAACATTACCTGTTTGGATACTTCTCTTTTTACCACTGTATTTGCGTGAAAAAATGTGATGAAAAGACCAATGTTGACTAAGATACCTAAAAAGTTTAAACAAAAATATGTGAAAAAATTTTAACCTTTAAACCGAGTTTTGTATATGTAAGATATGTTTTCTTAATGCATTTTTAAGTACTTTCGAAAAGGTGATACACATGAAAATTTTCAGTTAATGATATATACACTTGAATTCTGGCAATCCTCACACTTCAGAAGCAAAGGTCATGCAGATTAGTGAATTTTGTGAATAGGACATACCTTCCCAAACATTACCTTTTTCTCTTTCCTAGTTTTTTTTTCATTACATCTGGATTGTTTTCACAAAGCCTACTAAAACATACTCATACCTTAAAAACTATTTAAATAAAATTTACCAATTACAAAGATGCAACATTTTTATATATAACAATAAACAAAGAAAACATGATTAGTGCAAAGAAAAAACAGTACATTCTGATTATCTGCATCCTTACTAAAAAGCCATGAAAAAGTATTAATGAAGCAATGCACCATGTCACCAAAAGTATTTACATGACAATACACAATGTCACCAAAAAGTATTTATGCAAGATCTTCCCTCCGGGAATACGAGCCTTTTAAACATAGCAGTGGACTACATATTGCAATTTTTTTCATCTGTAGAAAAATCTTGCTAGTTTTACTACACACATAAGCAAGCAATCCCAAAGCATAATGTGGTTCACTTAAAGGCATCATGCATTTTTCCTCCCCTCATTTTTAAATTTTGGTGTTGAAGTTATGTATGATGGCAAGCTTGTGCAATTCTCTGATGTGTTATATGAAAAAAGAACATTAAAAAAATAGGTGACACTGGATGTATCACTGAAATACCAGTAAAGATACCCAAATTAAAACAATTCTCTTCAAAGTTACCAACAAGTCTGCAACTTTACTAGTGGGGGTGCAGATAATCAGAAAGTACCAAAAAAACATAATACACAGATAACATTGGAAAATGTTTCAAAGAAGTTAAGAACTCTTGTAAAAAATGCACTGAAACTTTTTACATAAAAAAAAAAAAAAAAAAAAAAAATGTAACTCATCAAGCAAATGAATTTCAAAATACTTTTTATGCTCTTAACTAAGAGAAATAAAGATGTTTATGAATACCCTTGCAGTAATTTTTCTTTTAAATGAATTCCTGTGGTAACTCTACCATTATATTCCCCTATATATAGAATTAGATTAATACTTACTGTAAGGATTACTAGAATTATATATTTATTAAAATAAAAATATCCAAAAAATTACTAGAAAAATCTTTTTAAATACTATTTTCAAAAATATATTAGTCTTTGCTGCCAATGTAACATACCTAGTCACCACACAGAATGTAAAGAAACTACTCATCAGATGCATTTATGCTGAAATGTTTCAAAAGAAGTCAAAGGATAACAGAATATGTATACAAACAAGACCCTCCTTGCATTTTAGGATAAATTTAAAAAAAACATACACATGAATATTTACCATATATTTCCATGTACAAGCCTGGAATTTTAGGAACCTTTTCTAAAGCTAAATTACAGAAGTTGGCTTATCTGTAGGCACGTTCAATCAACAAATCACCAGATATAGCCCTTTTCTATTTCTAGTTTTTATTAAGTTTATGGGGGGAGAAAATCATTTTAAATTAAACGAGTTATTTGCTTTGTGAAAATAAATTATTTTATTTTCAAATTATTTACACTGCTGACTTGTTGTGTCACTGTCAAAAAGAAAAATCTGATCTGCATAGAATGTGTGCCCGGTTTATGGAAAACAACCATGAGCTACCTTTCTTGGATTTGGGCATCTCCACTAATTCAAGATGTTTTTTCTCCACTCTCAAACTTTTTTTAGTTAGGAGAAATGCTGTTCAGCCCATACTGTTGATAGAATTTGCAGCAAATGTGATCATCTTTAATTTGAAATTTGCTGTATACTTTCTCTTCCCATGCATCCTTCAGACAAAAAATAAAATAGCACAGAAAATAAGACCAGGACAGATACCACCTCTGCAATAAATAAATGTGAAATGTGCTAGCTTCATATAAGGTTACAAAAGTTAAAGCTATCATCTTGGTGCCTGGCATTTTACTTTTCAGTGATTTGATTGGATAATATTTTACTCCTTTTACCTGGTTCGCAACATTTTCCCCCTCATTGAGAAATGTTTAAACATTACAGGATTTTTTCTTTTTTTTCCATTTTGGCTTATATACCTGTTTTAAATTTTGGGTAAATTATTGAAGGGAAAAAACCACACTTTCGGCTTATATGTGGATCAGTTTAAATTTGGAAATATTTAGTATTTTGTTTTGCAGTTATTCTCACTTTTTTTAAACTTTTATTTCAAGGATATAAACTTTAATTAATATAAAAGAATAAATGCAATATGAAAAAAGCAAATTGCAGATACTACAAATAAATGTTTAAATATATTTAAAAGGCTATTAATTTCACAAAGAACTTATTTTAAATTTACATATGAACCATGAAAATTGGAAAAGATGCTACCAAACCTGTACAAATCATTTCAATGGAAGTTTAATAGAACAGATCACTCTTTAGTTAATCAGATAATTGACAAAAAATTTTGTGGATACAGCTATGAAAAAAATAAATATAAACTGAAACTTGCATCAAACTCTACGACAAGACTTTAAGAGGAATAGATTACTTTTTATTTAGTTAGATAATCAACAGATACAAGTTACAAACCCAGCATGTAAAAAAACTGGGGATGGTTACATTAAACCAAGGTGAAGACCTCATGAATGTGTTGTGATGGCACATTTATCCATTAATGGAACTAAATTACATGGTGACAGTTTTTGTTTGTCAAAACTGGTTGATGGAGAAACATGCTAAGTTCCATTAGATGAAAAGAAATGAACAGACACGTATTTTAGATAAATATTTAAAAATCAGAATAAGTGTCCAATTTCGCAAAAAACTTAAGACAAAATGAATGAAAGAAGCAATCGATGCTAGTAAAAAAAATTCCTTTTTCAAAGTTTTACGGGAATGATTTTTAAAAATTCATATGGAATTATTTATTATTTGTAAATATAGTGTTTCCATTTTCCTAATGATAAATACATAAATAACAATATTATTTTTAGCTACTTTTAAATATTACTATTAATTCCATAAAAGTAAACATAATTGGAAAAATGCCTATTAAAACTCCCTAAAAAGAACAAGATTGCCAACAATTTGAAATACCCAATATGTACAGAAAGGTTCAAGTAATCATCTGATTTCATATGATGAAACTTATGAAATTACTTATTTTCTTAAACTTTTTAAGTTATAAAACTATTTTAACCCTTTTGCCATCCTCTCCTCTCCGCAAAAATTTCTCCCCAGCAGCCCTTTGTTTTTTGCAGCATATAATGTTGTTTTATCTGTACATACATAGCTTTCATAGTAGATGACTGTAAATGAATAAATATTAAGTAAAATTATAAGGAAATAAAGCAAAATGGAAAAATGGAAAAGTAATAATATCTCTGCTTATTTCTAACAGCAGGATTAATTTGATAACATCTGATCCAGGAGGTCTACTCCTCCCGTTTTGTTGTTGTAATCTTTTATAATTTTTACAGTTCTTTTCCGTGTTTCAACATCAATTGTAGAGTTATTATGGACTGTACTCATCAAACGTATATCCTTCTTGTCTTTGAAATTCACAACCTCATTTTATCTCTTTTTCTGCTGAGTAGACGTTGAAGATCTCTCACTGTCTTGTATCTTACTTAAAATGGCACGAATATTCATAAAACCCAGAGGGAGGGGGAAATTCAATTAGAAATAGAATGTCTGATTAGTACTGCCCTCTAGAAGGTATTAGAACAAACAAAAATAAAAACTCAAACAAGTAAACATTTAGAAAACGTTTAAAAGTTTTAAAATGCAGAAGAACGCTTGAAGCACGTTACGGCCGCCCTGCAGAATTTTCCCTTGAACGTGCTAGACGCATTACGGATGACGAAGAGGTTAAATCTTTATAGAAAACACTACTTTCAAAATATAGTGCTAAATGATCCAAAATAAAGATGCTATAAAACAAAGTACTTGAAAACCTCTAAATTAACTTATTTATAGGTTACATAACTCAATCAATCAATTAAAAGAGTTAAAATTAAGGATTGCAAATTAAATTCCTTAAATCAAATTAATTTTACAAAAAATTAGATTAAAAAAAGACTTGAATCTTCATGCTTTTTCTGCCATTTGAATGTTTTTAATTCTAATTTGAAAAATTTTAATATTTTAAATCATACCCCAAACTTTAGAAGAATTAGTTTTATTAACATTCAGTAGAAGAATTAATAAAAAAAGAATACAACTTCTGCAGTGTCACTGGGCATGGATCATTATCTTGTGGCAGCCCTGAGTATCACACTTTTAATTTTCTGGAGAAAAGATAATTTGTTTGGTGTTTATCAATGTCAACTCTTGAAGTAATTATCCCCCTTCTACATTTGCTTTATTTTAAAAAGATTCCGAAAACAATAACTGTTATTACTGACATTTGTTGTCAAATTATTTCAAGAAAATGAAACTCAGTATTAAAAGAGTTTTAAATAGGTACTTCATTTACTAACTTTATTTTTTAATTGTATTCTTACATTTGTTTTTTTTCATCAAATGCAGATTTTAAATCTTTAATATGAAGTTAAAGTTTTTTTTTTTTCATCTTATTAGTGCTCTTGTACAGGGTGATTCACTTACCAGTGCAACTAACTTTCAGGAGGTGTAGCAGGCACTTCATGAGAGCTACCATGAATTGAATGCAAATGGTGAGGACACCAGACAACGAGGAGAATGTTCTACATATGGTAGAAAACAATACAAGAATGAATACTCAAGCTGTAAAGACCTTATTTTGTTTTATGTTATTATTTTTATTTTAAGAAACTTTCCTTTCCTTTCTAATTTCAAATACCTTCCAGAATGCAAATCTAAATGAGATCGGAATTAGTACTTTCTTAAGTAGCAGAAATTAATGTGGAAGGAGAGTTAGTTCCGAACTTATGCCATGTGTTTGAAAGTAGCTCTGTAGTTAAATAGCTGGTGCTAGCCGCTTACTTTATGTTATATCGATATTCTAGACTCAGCTTTGCTCTGTGTAGCTGATTAAGTGGTTTAAGATTAAGTAGGAGCCAATAGTGTAGTTAAATTTTAATCCATTGTGATTGTACATACTATTTTGTGTTTAAGTTACTTAGCCAGAAAGTGATGGTTAAATTGCGAGCACTGAGTGAGTGCCTTTTCTATTCTGTTTAGGTAAAATTAAAAGGTTGTTACAATCTTTGTCTGCTCTTCCAAAACCTAGCGAGAATTCACTACTTTGTCTTTCATTAAGAGCTACAGTTTGCATTCCCAAAACACACAAGAACAGTCTATCAAAACGTTAGACCAACAACTGGGTTTAACCCAAACCATTGTATGAAAGACAACTGTCAGCAATCCAGATGCATTTATACCATCTGCAAAATGTTTCGTCATTGAAGGCTGCAGATTATCCACCCCCTAGGAATTTTGCTACTTGGTGTTTTCAACAGAGTGCAATAGACAGCACATTTGCCACATCCATATTGTTAATGGATGAGGCAATTTTCAGAGCCTTCAACAGAACAGAGGGAGCCTTCAATCAATGTAATGTCCATTTGTGGGCTTTTGAAAACCTCCATGGTATGTGAATATGTGCAACTCAAAGGCATTTTTTTGCCAATATTTGTACCAGCATTGTTGGAGAGCACCTCCTTGGATTATACCTCCTGCCTCCTCAGCCGCATGGTAGGACACGCTTAATCATCCTATAGCGTCTAGCCTGAACTTTCTGAAGAAGCACATGTTCCTCAGTCGTTGTGATGCTTAATGTGGTAATGTTGGAGCTGTCTCACATTTACCAACACCTAAGGATTGCAATTGCACAGTACTGGATATGCCATGATGGTGCAGTTCATTGGCCTGCTAGATCTCCGGACCTATTATGCATGGGCTTCTTCTGCAGGAGTCAAATGAAGATACTAGTATACGAGACCCCTGCTGTTTCAGTTGCACACCTCGTAACTCGCATCTCTGCAGCTGCCAAGAGATGCAAGACGTGCCAGGAATCTTTCATTACATAAGATTTCTATGTGCTGCTGCTGTGAAGCCTGTGCGAGTGCTGCTGGTTAGTTTCGAATACCTTCTGTAAAACTTGTACACACCACCCCTGTAAAACTTCCAATTAAAATTATTTCCATTATATTAACATATATTTTCTTTTTTCTTCTTCTTTTAAAAGTAGCCTGCACAGAAGGCATTTCAAACCCTAGAATAACATGCGATTCTGAATCGTCTTCGTGCCCCCTACACTTCCTGCTTCAATGCACTGGTAGTGAATTACCATGTATAAAGAAATCAAGAGTGCAAGATTCAGATTTGAGAAAATTTAGGATTCCTACCTTTGGTTAAAAAAAATGCTTGCTAAGCAAAATTTAAAAAACTGATAATTACAAAAATAATAACAAAAAAAAAAAAAAAAAAAAAAAAAAGGTTATAGTAGACTGAAGGGTATCCCTTGTATTACTGCGAAGTTGTTGTTTCACTTATTGTAAAGTTGTTTCGTTTATCGCCAAGTTGTTATTTCATTTAGGGTAACCTGAGTAGTTGAATGTTCCTTAAATATATTTTAATCTAGAATTGGGTGCTTCTTTGACTTTTTAAGTGAAAATATGTTGATGTGTACATGGACAAAGTCAAGGGAGTGCACAATGCCAAGTTTGTGCAATTCTCTAATGTTTTTTAAGTGAAAATAGGTCAATGTGTACTTGGATACCGAGTTTGTGCAATTCTTTGACTTGTTATTTTATCTTTATGTAGCGGTGATTTTTGGCACTACACGAAGACAAAATAACAAGTCGAAGAATTGCACAAACTCGGTATTCATGCAATGTCAAAAATCGCCAATTTTCGCCAAGAGGTACCCGTAAATATACTTTTACCAAAAGGAGCTCTGGAAGAGGTGGGATGGGAAGAATAATTATAAAAATGCAAAATGCAGCAAAACAAATGCAAATATCGAACAAATTTCCTACAAAGAACATACAACAAGAGAAAGCTTTTCTTACCTATCCTATGGTCATACATTAATTTGAATAACAAAACTAATAAAAAAGGAACATATTTTCCAGCAAACGCAAACAAAGCTTGTAATTCTGGCGTATTCCTCAATGACGCTCCTTGATCTGAATCGTTAGATCTGTTATTTGCATCAGCTGATTCAGCAGCCGATAATGAATTTGATGATGATTCATTTGGATTATTATACGAGTCCACTTCAGGTGATTCAATATCTATCACGTAGTTACCAGACGATGCTACATCAGTTAGATCAGTATTTCTGATAACAGGATTAGCACTATCTATTGTCTCAAACCAAGCTGAATGAGTAGGAGAATTTCTGCTTGACCGTATAGGTGCTGAAGTAATTAAAGGACTTAAACCTTGTATCACATAATCATGCAGTTCATGAATATGTTGTGTTGCACTAGAAGCTATATGATGGGAATTCTGGTGAATCTGTTGTATAGACCATGGGATATTAGGCCTGGCAATTCTTGAAGGTCTGTTGTTTTCAGCCATAATCTGCAATTAACAAAATAAGTCTCATCAAAATATGGAAATATATATGCATATGCACATGAATAGCAACAGGTCAAATTAAGAGTAAAAAAATTACAAACAGCAAATAACAATGCATAAAATAACATTATTGCTGATATTGTAATAAATCTGTAAATTTGAGATAATAATTTATAATTATTATTTAATAAGGTTCATTTTATTTCAGAACTTAGCAAAATTGCTTGTTATTTACCATCTTCTATTTATTAAGTTAGGAATTTTTTTTTTTTAATATTGCCATTACTTGGAATACAAATGGGTAACAGAAAGAGCAAGTGCATAACAGAAAAGTACCAAAAAATGATTTTTTTTCAAGTGTATATTTAAACTAATACATAAACTTCTTTTTTGACCTATACCATGAAGATCTGCTCTGTCTGAACTTAAGCATGGTATTACTGTTTCTTTAGAAAATCACTTCAATAGCTGAAAGTAAACTTTCTTGAATTGAGTCACGTTTTTAGATATATTTTCTCCCGCTGGAATACTGCTTAATAATTAATTTTAATTATGTCCTTCGTTAACTCTAGCTTGAGATATGGGGAGCGAACATTAGTTGATTTTGATACAAAATCTATTTCCTGGATGTTTAAACAGTTGACATCTTTCATGTAATAACTGGTAGGTAACAAAATAGTACTGTTACTTTAATGATGCTATTTGGTAAAAATAATCAAACCTTTCTTAATGCATTGACTTTAATAAATGAAATTATTTACAGTTCCCTGAAAGAGGACTGACTAAGAAACATTTTTCTCTTCATTTATCATGAATGATGTCAGTACTTTTCTTGCCAGTTTTCCCTATCCCGAAGAACAGACTCCACTCCGATTAGGATCAAACATAAAGCACGATTTAAAACTATCAGGAATTTCCACACCCTTCTCAATAATATATAAATTGCTTACAATTTTTTCAAGCTTTCTTTGGCTTAAATTTCTTGATTACTTTTGTATTTTAGACCCAGCATTTTGATGCAAGATTTTAAGTTCAAATCTCTCCTTAATTCTATGACCAACTGATTTTGATGACTTCAACTTAAGTAATCTGACGAATGAAACATCAAATATCCCAACAAACTTCAATTTAACCATTTTCATGATTTGTTTGCTTCTTTTTGGGCCCCTTTACCAAAATTTAGATTGATATTAAACTGTCCAGCTATTTTGAAAACTGAAGAATTGTTGCTTTTCTTATCTGACTAGTACTTTCATAATGTTTAAACATGACCATTTTTGCTTTTTCAGATATCTCAACTGTAAAATCATATTTATGTGTTTGAAGCAGCTTTCATTAAGCAAAATGCCATTTCATAATTGGTTTCAGTATTTAACTGAAGCTGCTAATTTTTCAAAGGAAATTAACTGCTTATCTTTATTGGCTCATATTTAATCTATAATCGTCTTCTTACCAAAGATGCTTTTTATTTTTAACATTATAAGTCACGTCTGTAATTAGTTTCCATTTCAATAGAGTATTTGAAAAAAGGAAACTTTAAATGAATGAAAACATTTGAAAAATATTATTTACAACTGCATGCATTACTTCTGCTGCTCTAAAATAAAGGTTGTATTTATTACTTGGATTTTATTTTCCAGAATAGTTATCATATTTGTAAAAATAATGGAAAAGAGAAAGATTTGGCTAATCTTTGGAATATGGTAACAGGTAGTTTGGCGACATTTTGGTAAGGTGATAAAGGTTACTAGCTAGGACTTTAGCAGTATACATGGATAAAGTCAAGAGTGTGCGCAATGCCATTTTTGTGCAATTCTGAGATGTTTTCTTAAGTGAAAATAGGTTGACGTGTACATGGATACCGTGTATGTGCAATTCTTAAAAACACGGCAAGCAGTGGGCGATTCTGCACTTTCTACCAATTTCGCACCTAATCTTCGTCATGATTAAGCACTTTTGTTCCATAAAAGTTCTAGCATAAGTGTAATTCAGCTAGCAGATTGTTGGAAAAAAATTTTGAGTAAAAAAAAAATTCCTTTACTTCGTGAAAACAAAATGGCGTCAAAAAAAAAAAAAAAAAAAAAAAAAAAAAAAAAAAAAAAACTAGTAGGTTGCTGTAGCAGGGTTGGTCGCCAAATTACCATAATCCGAAGATTAACCAAAAATTTAATCCTAATCACTTCACTTTTCTAATATGACTAAATATTACACACCCCTAACTTAATACCTGGTACCTGATATTCATGTATGTTTTTCATTTTCACTGCTCTAACAAAACCTGTAAAATGGCACTGTAAACTTTGCTTTATTTATTTTTATTTTTTTATGGCTACAAAATGCTGCTTATGCAGTTCCATATACAGTCAAAAGTCGTTAATTCGGAATGATCTATAATCCGGACCTCAAAACTAAAAACTTTCTGCGCATGCGCCACGTTGACACATGCGCATAGGTGTTTACGCGTGCGCATAAGACCTTTTACAACTGCGCATATGAGTGTGCGCAAGTGCAGAATACGTTTTCGCGTGCTCGTTTTATGTATAATGGACGTATAAGCTAAAATTATCTAATTATCTATTTCAGTTAATGTTGATGATTGCGTTGTTCCTCAATTTTCGAATTGGATCCGGCTTATTATTTTTTGCAGACTGTAAGAGCAATTTTATAAAAGTAAGCTTAAACTTTCGATTATATCAAATAGAATTTCCGATATATATTTGTTAATATGTAAAGGATCTAAAGCGAAAGTATGTTTTGAAATCCGAAATCTGTTTATCAATTTCACGCTGCTTGGCAGGAAGGGGGGGATCGCAGCGGCGGGCGCGTAATGAATTGGAAGTTGATTTGTCAGCACTATCCTTATCTTCAGCGCAGATGTTTTTATTTTATTTGGCTTATGATTCCTTACCAAATATAGTATTTCATCTCGATATGCTCCGTCTTTGATATGATTTAAAACAAGTTCCTCGTCATTATAATTCGCTTTCCATAGCGAAGAAAGTGACAGAGGTTATTGAAAACGAAAAAATTTGGATTGACAAATTAGTCGGTGTTCTCGACATAGCAATTATAGGACTTGAACAGCGGAACTTTGTAACTGAACAAGAAATTATGTCTGTTTAATAGAATTAAAGAGAAAGTATTATCACATGAAACGAAGCAAAACTTAAACAACTTACATTGAAAGAAATGTTTAATAAAGTAAACAAAATGAATATTAAGCTTTTTCTTTTTTTTGCAAATTTTGATACCCTTTAGATCATAATTGTTCTTTATTTTATTTCATAAATTACGGTTTCATATCTTTAATTTTAGAATTTCTGCATGCCATCTTACGAGATTTAAACTGATGATCTATAATCCGGAAAAATCGATAATCCGGAATCGCCGAAGTCCCGACGAGTCCGGATTAACGACTTTTGACTGTATTTACAGTTATTAATTCAATCTAAGCAATGACAACCATAATATATAATTTAATGATGTACAGGGGATGTTTACATATGTTTAACATTTAAAACATAAAGAGCACTTTCTTAAATGTTCAATCTGATAGCCATTTTTTCTGGACTATAAATCTGCATCGTGATTTCCATGACAGAAGGGATTTTCATAAAATTTCCAGGGGTATCGATTTCCATTCCTCTTCCACCAATTTCCAGTCTATCAAGAATGGTGGTTTTGAGCTTAGTAAGAGCTCTTTTCAAAAGAAAATAGGCACAATAGTCCAAAGATGAAACATCTGAAGACTTTGCAAGAATACGCTGAAAGGTATACACTACAAAGTCCATAATCCACATCCATTATCCGGTATGATCTATAATCCAGACCTCAAAGCCACAAACTTCTTTTTTTTTTTTTTTTTGTATGCTTTACGCATGTGCGTTTCATGCGCCCTTCCGATACGCATGCGCTACTTCCGATAGTGAAGAGAGTGACACAGAACGAAAACGAAAAACGTTTATTGAAAACGAAAAAATTTCGATTGAAAAGTTAGTCTGTATTTTCGACACAGCAATTACAGGACTTGAACAGTGGAACTTTGTAACTGAACAAGAAATTATTTCTGTTTATAGAATTAAAGAGAAAGTATCAGCACAAAAAACGAAGCAACTTAAACAACTTACATTGAAAGAAATGTTTAATAAAGTAAACAAATAAATATTAAGCTTTTCTTTGTAAATTTTGATACCCTTTAGATCAAATTGCTCTTTATTTCATAAATTACGGTTTCCTATTTTTAATTGTATAATTTATGCATGCCATCTTACCAGATTCAAATTGATGATCTATAAATGCGGAAAAATTACTAATCTGGAATCGGCGAAGTCCCGACGAGTCTGGATTACGGGCTTTGTACTGTATATGCAATACCTGTATTAGAGTTCCTTTTTTCAACGAATGCAGTGGCACTTTTCAAAATATGACCTGCTGCTTGATGCAGTTCTATTCTTTGAATGTCACTGGGATAAAGAAATATAATTTCTTCTACAAATATTGTAATTGTATAGGAAAATTATAAATACTGGATGTAAAGCTTTCTCTTGACAGCACATCGAGTTGATTTTAACAATTTTTTGGAAATCCTGAGATAATCAAACCCCTTATTAAAACTTTCTTTGCAATGACGGAACCAGGTTTGTAATTTTTTTTTCCTCTTCCCTTCTGATAAGACCTTTGTTTGTTGCAGTCATTTAGGTAAACCCTTACTTCATCAAGTGTCACAATGTATATCCATTTATCTCCTGCTAATGGTCTACAAAATATTCTGCACCAAAAAGCAAAAGCTGGTGAGCATTATGTTTTTCAGCCTTCTTAAGTTGTAAATCCTGGTTTATTATTTTATTTATTTTTCCTACAGATGTATTTACAGACTTTGCAACTGATTTCTGCAACAGCGGATTTTCTCTTATTGCCAACAATTTAACTTTAGAAACATTAAAAACAATATGTACACTCTGCACAAAAAAAGGGGGGGGGACAGCTCTATATCTGGTTCTATGTAATTTGAATATAAAGAACAGATATATTCTGTGCTACAGTCAGAGTTCTATCTGTCGTATATATTTTTTTATGTATAGTGATATAAATTAATTTATTGCTGTTTTCTCTTGCATTTTGAATAAAAACATGTTCAATGGTTATAAAATCAGTGACTGCACTCCTGTTCATATACAGCTTAACATTCAGTGAACAGAGAAAAGGACAGCTGGATACTGCCAGTGAAATAGTAATAAGTTGGAACAACCACCTGTGGGAAGGTAACACTCACAGCATTCTAAACAGAGCTTCTGGTAAAATAGTAGAAACTGAAAAAAGCAAGGTGGGTCAATTCAGTTGCTATTTGGTGAATTGTGAAGGGAGATTGACGAATGTTTCATTACAAAAGTTGCAGACAGAAGTGTACCTCTGAATTTCACAGGAATAAATGGCACAGCTTTGGTGAGATTTTCACCAACTTTCATGTTTAATGGGATAATATGCAAGTACTAATAATTTTTATTAATGTTTTAATTTTTTATACCTTACATAAATAAATATAAAAGTTTATAGTATTAAAATAAATATAAAAGTTCTTTTTTTAATAGTTATTGCTTTAGACTGTAGTTTCCTTATTTTTCTTAGACGTAATGTTCTTCTAGTTCGACTTAGTTTGATCCTGTATAAGTTAGTCATCACCTAAATTTGAAACATAAGGCATTCAATTATATGGCAAAGTATGGAAAAGCTATCAGTCTAAGGTATGGGATGTATTAAAGGAAGACTTTCTAAGGGAAATTTGAAAACCATAAGAATATACAGTCTAAAGTCATTAATCCGAACTCGTCAGGACTTCGCCAATTCCGGTTTATAGATCATCAGTTTAAATCAGGTAAGATGGCATGCAGAAATTATAAAATTAAAAATATGAAGCCGTCATTTATGAAATAAAGAACAATTATGATCTAAAGGGTATCAAAATTTACAAAAAAAAAAAAAAAAAAAAAAAAGCTTAATATTTATTTGTTTACTTTCTTAAACATTTCTTTCAATGTAAGTTGTTTAAGTTGCTTCGTTTTATGTGATAATACTTTCTCTTTAATTCTATAAACAGACATAATTTCTTGTTCAGTTACAAAGTTCCGCTGTTCAAGTCCTATAATTGCTGTGTCGAGAATACCGACTAATTTGCCAATCAAAATTCTTTCGTTTTCGAAGAAAGTGATCTCTGTGTCACTTTCTTCGCTATCAGAAGCGAATTATAATAGAGAGGAATTTGATTTAAATCATATCAAAGACGGAGTACATCGAGATGAAATATTACATTTAGTAAGGAATTATAAGCAAAATAAAATAAAAACATCTGCCCTGAAGATAAGGATAGTGCTGACAGATCAACTTCCAGTTCATTGCGTGCCGCAACATCCCCCCCCACACACACGCAGAGCAGCGTGAAACTGATAAACAGATTTCGGAATGGTTAGATAAACAAATCCATTATCCTTTATCCATTTTTTGCAGCAATTCCACTTTTTGTTTAATGGACTTCGAAACATACTTTCGCTTTGTAGATCTTTACATATTAGTGAATATATATCGGAAATTCTATTTGACATAATCGAAAGTTCAAGCTTACTTTTATAAATTGCTCTAACAGTCTGCAAAAAATAATAAGCTGGACCTAATTCGAAGATTAAGGAACAACGCAATCTGCAACATTAACTGAATTAGATAATTTTAGCTTAGCTTATACCGTCCGTCATACATTAAACGCGCATTCGTAAACATATTTTGCGCATGCGCACACGCATATTCGCAGCCGTAACGGTCTTACGCGCATGCGTCAACGCGACGCACACGCAGAAAGTTTGTAGCTTTGAGGTCCGGATTATAGATCATTCCGGATTATGGGTGTCCGAAATTTATTCTGTCAAAATCTACAAAATATAGTGATTTAAACTAGTCTCTGCATTTTCATAGCTTATAATTTTAAAATTATTTCAGATATTATTTTAAAAAAATGAGAGAGAGATCCTAAAAGAAATCAAGAGTTTGTCGAAATTAAAACAAGAAATCATGCATTTGTATTAATTGTCACTAAGACACTATAACAAGTTATAAAAGATGAGACATATTATTCTCAACATAATAATTAAACATTATAGTAAGAAAATTTTCAAGGAACATACAAGATTTTAATATAATAGATTTAAAATAGTTTACATAATACACATTATACAATTTACATAACACACATTATATGATTTACATAATACACATTACAAGATTTACATAATACACATTACAAGATTTACATAATACATATTACAAGATTTACATATTACACATTACAAGATTTACAGAATACACATTACAAGATTTACATAGTACACATATGATTTTAATTTACAACCAGGCATTTTATTAATAAACATTTGGAATCAAAATAAAAGTAATATAGTATAAAAATTATATATAGTATAAAAACTAATATAATATAAAAATACAGGGGAAAAAGTAAAATATCTAAAAATTTAAATGATGAAAAGGATTGATTAAAAAAAATCTATGTAATAAATGCAAAATGTTTCCTCTGATTTTAACATAAGAGTGAAATTTCAGCCAATTCCCATATGCAAGCATATTGGGCATTTTTATTAACCTCTCTGGATAAGTAAAAGTAAAGTCTCTGGATAAGTAGTTCTGTAATAAGACCTCATGGTTAAACTAAACAGCATTTTAACAACATAAATCATGCAGATTTCAAAATTAACAGAAATATGAAAAAAAGATTTCATAATATATCTGCTAGTATTGGATGCAAATAACAAGCATAATACGTACTTTCTGCTAATAAAACCTCGCTATTAAAGAAAGTGTTTCAACTATAAAGTTCCTTCTCAACAAGATAAAATGAACTCGTAAATAACCTGCATCTTATGTACCATGTTAAACATCCAGTAAAATAATAACAAAAATACATAAATATGTTCGTAATAAAGGTTCCTGCTTGACGTAATTAATAAAAAGAAGAAATTTAGTACATCCTCACTTAACTGAATATATAAACACAATAAAAGACATCAGTAAAAAGTATATTTCAGTATATTTCGCATTACTTACATAAAATATATTACGATATATTCATTTATTGTGATTCGACCACATCTTGTTCAATTAAACACATGGTAACTTTTAGACAAACACACTAGCTAAAGATATACTTGATCGGGGACACTAAAGCACAATAAAAAACAGATAACTTAAAACTGAGAAGTCTAAATACAAAGTGAATGGATTAATGCAAAATATCCTAATAAAATCACTCTATTAAAAGCCACTTTCCCCGTTAGCAAATGCAATGCACTGCCTTACTCTCACGCACAAATAAGAAACATAACGGTGTTCATAAAGTGAGTACATAATTTCATTAGTGCTGCAATTCAAATACTTGAATATTTTAATAACTAAAATATGCTGCCCATTACACTTATAAGCAACGCGCATTCCCTCCCCATAGCATAAATATTAGTGTGAAATGAAATTTCTGACAGTAGATTTGGGACAGCACCACTGTATAGTATAAAGTATAAATAGAGCTCATCTTCAGTCACACAGGAATAAAAACACTTACTATTAAAAAAAAGGTGAAGAGACAAATACAAACTTACTATTTAAATACTCCAAACTTTCATCCAGTAGCACCAATTACGACCTCAGGTAACGATAAACATAAGATGACATGACGTCACTGACATGATTTATCTGAAATTTATATATTTTGCGCGCACCTGTCACTTCTCAAAATACGTGATGTTATCTCTTATCAGACCAACCAAATCCAACATTCACAAAGCACTAACTTTTTCAATAAAATTTATGGGATTTTTTCGGCATAATTCAGTGTACTGTTTTATTTACACCAATTACTACAGAAACGCATAAGCAATATTCATTCATTTTCATTTAGCTCTAAGCTTTCAGCGTTAGTGAAACCTGAAATATTACATATTAAAAATAGGAAAGTATAAAAACAGTATCAAAATAACTATGTCACGTTTTATTAATGTTTATGATAGTTTTTTTTTTTTTTTTTTTTTTTTTTTTTTTTGCTTCGTAGGAGATATGTATAGTTCGACCGCCTCATCCGCGACCATGAGCGCAAACACGCATGCGCCATTCGGACCGAATTATTCTCAAAATAGGGTGGAATGATGGAGACTTTCTTCAAAGAATCTCTTAAGGATTAGAAATTCTTTGCTGTCTTTCCCTCCAGTATAGCTCTTTCCGGAGAAGAGAAGACCTTTCACGTCGCAGCGAGTAATACCGCCCTTTTTGGGCTAGTCTATGTGTTTTGGCAGAATGTCAACCCGTTTCTTAAATTGTGGGACCACCCCTCCAGCAGGAGGTCCCCAAAAATTTTAGCAGCTTTGTTATTTCTTTAACTTATTATAATAATTTTACAATTACTAAATATTTTTAAGCAGTGTATTTGAAAATAGATAAGACAATACAGACAAAGAAAAAAACGAAAACGATTCTTTTTATAATATAAAACGTTCATTTTCCTTGCTTTGCACGTGACGCTGTATTTTCGTCTGTTACTTATTTAAAATTTTCACATTTTTCTGTGTGTTAAAATTAGAAATTAAAGTTAATGACCTAAAACTGCAATAGTATAACATTACAAGTGAAAAACTTGACACTTTCACCCATGCGTGTGACGAATTTGCGCAATACTTATGGGGGTCCAACAAAATTTCTGTAAACATTATGGGGTCCTGGGGGTCGCGAAAAAATCTCAGTGATAAAAAGGGGTCGCGACTGAAAAATTTTAAGAAATTCTTATGATCGTGTTTGCGTTAGTTTTGGTTTCGTATTAATGTAAGCAAACTGCAATATTCGTAAAGGTTAATAAATCTTTTTAAAATTTTCAGACAAAAATATTCCCCTCCATCAAAAAAAAAAAAAAAAAAGAAGGAAAAAAAGAAAGCGAAAAATACTATATTGCCGCTTTCAAAGAATCAAAAAGACAAGGGAAAATTACGTAGGTGAAGTTTGGTAAACTATCATATTGCTCAATATTAGTTTTGTGTGTGTGTGTAAAGCATGTAATCAAGGAGGTTAGAATAGAACCTAGTGCTGTTTGGCGATGGAAAGTTTGAATATTTTTATTTTATATGGTGGGAGATCTATTATGTCGTGGAGGCGTTCAGAATTTCTCAATTTCATAATTAAATAATTTAAGCTAATTAAGACACAGCTTATTTTGCTAATTTTGAAATTTGAATTTAAGCTAATTTTGAAAGAACACAAAGGCATTGATTTTCTTAGGAGGAGTAATTCAATTGAATCTGATATACCTCCTCTTGATAACATTGAATCAGAGTTTCATTGCATTCCTCTTCCTATTTTTTGTATTTATATTCCTGGTTGGTGTAGGGAATTCCTCTGGTTTGAAAACAATTAACTGATGGTTTTCTTTCTTTCTTTTTTTTTTTTTTTTTTTTTTTTTTTTTACATTTTATCGGGAAAGATTTTATTGATTTCGAAATTCCTTTCTTTTTTGTGAATTACGTTCTAAATTTCTTACTATTTGGTCTATAATTGATCAATTTTTGAGCACATTGCGCTGAAATATTATTTGGATATTTTTGTTTAAAAAAATTGTGAGGCTGTAATATACACACACTTATATATTTGTGGACACTAAGTATATAATAATATTAAGTAGCCTCTACTTGAGTACTTGAGAAGAGAAATCTTTCATCAAAAATGCTTCAGCTCTGAGGAAATCACCTAAATACAATTTAGTCACTCGCATGTGCAGACTGTAGCCAAGAGGTTCTTTTCTGTAACAGTGAAACAGTCGGACTCTGAAATTTGATTTCTTCACTAACTTCATTAGTAATTCTTTGGAAATGGGTGACAAATGCAGGAAGACAGAATCACCAGTATAGAAGTTAAAACTAGAGCGCCTGATTGCGAAAATGTTTCAAGTAGAAATCTTAATCTTCAGTTTCTTTCTAGTAAGATGATTTCTGATGTTCGACCTGGGTGCAATACATAGCGCCACTTATCTCACAGTACGTCTCTTATTAGTTAGGATGATTTTTTTTTTTTTTGTTTGTTTGTTTTCTTTGAGGACAGTAATGTTTTAGGATTTTCTCCTTTGCACCTTCTAGCCTACCCTACCTCACACAAGACTCTTTTCCAAACTTGCTTATCGTCAGACACACTTTCCGGCTTTATCTTCTAGAGCCGGAAAGCGTCGAGTAAAAGACTCAATAAGCTCGCCATACAACTAGTAGCTGTAGTTGGACTATGTCTATGGCGAGAACATTGCTACAATCTCAAAATTCGCTGGACATAATTTAAGTGAGCATGTGTAGTTTAAATTGGAGAAATGGTTACGACAAATATTATATACAACATGAAATTTTCAAGAATGTGGGTTTTCCTGTTAAAATCATGGTAACAAATATTAAAAAACAGCTGTACTTCGCAAAATCAGTGAGTGACCTTGTCAGCTTATTAGACACTGTATTGTTAAGCTGATATAATTGTATTTTAAAAATTATAATGTTCAGTTTCTTCGTATCATGTAACAAAAAGAGCATTAAACTACTGTACATATAATTAGTACTTACGTTTTTTTAACACAAAGTTTTGTTAAAAAAAAATTAAAAACTTTTTAATTTCGCAATAGTAGCGAAATACTGCCCTCTAGATCAAAACCAACGACAAAAAATTGCACAAATTCAATCTTTTTGGCGTAAATGAACTACTACATGACGGCTTTGAGACTCGCTTTTTACTATTCTTTGTGTATCCCTTAAAACGATCCAAAACATAGACTTAAGATTTTGTAAGTTTTCAGACACAAAAAATAAAATGAATTTCTGGCTTTAAATCCACAAGTCATTAAGCATTTTGACCCTAAAATTGCTTTGCCTTCATTTGCAGAACTTTTTGATATGAATTCCATAATTGGTGAAATCTTTAGTCATTTCTTGAACAGCTTTTGCAATACACAATTAAGATGAGTATATAACCCTAAAGGTCAGGTCTGTTTGATCAATGAAATGACACTGTAATGCCACCTACCGGTCACTGCAATTATGGTTATAACATCGGCCATCACTGAAAAATTTTTGAGTTATGCATTCCCCCTTTTGCAGACCTGAAACAATGATTTTTAGTTTGAAGGGCAAACTGGCTTCTTATTGTTAATCTTATGAAGATAAAGGAATATTTTGTCAGTTTGCTGTTTTTAATAAAGGTTAATTTTCTCTCATAAATTCTTTCATGAAAGCATCCTTCCCCATCGACATAGCCCTAATGTGCTTTGTAGTTACTAAACACTTCAGCTCATGTCCCAGTTTCATATTTTCAGTTTTATAATTCTTTAAGGATATAAATGACTATGGGTTTCATGCACCCTGTCTCATATTTTAATATTTGAAATCTGGCTACTGCACTGTGAAATGCTGGGAGCTCTATATATGCCTCCCATACAGAATTCGAAAAATTTAGCACTTTCATTTATGAAACCATGTAGTTCATACTTACTTGTTGCAGTCATAGACATACAACATCTTTAAGCACTTTTTGAAGAGCAATTTACACAGATTGAGTTAGACAGGATAAAAACTACAGGTGCGATTTAAAGCTAATATGAAAAGTCTGGGGGATTTAGAAAATCAACATCCTCTTTTTTTTTTTTTTTTTTTTACCTTCACTGATAATACTATTCCTGTAAACAAGGTAATTAATTTTGCATCATTATTCAAAAAAGATTTATATTTCCCATTAAGTATTTAAATAAAATTGAATAAGATATCTTTCTTTACTCTTAATTATCAGTTGGATGTGTTAGAAATTATATCTAGAGCTGGATTAACCATTAAACAAAATAAGCACATATTTAAGGCATCACAACAATTTCTCAATGTTGGGTTTACTATGGAATATGTGGTGTAATCAAGAAGGAAGAAACGGGTAAAAAACAAGCATAAATTAATGTGGGGGCATAATAATCATTAAAATGTTGACGGTCCCTAAAGATTATAACTCGGCCGTGATTATATCAACAAGGTATATTTTTAAAAAATAAAGATTTAAATTATTGATAAGTGGCCATTTTCACTTTGAAATTTATAATTTGTTAAGAAATATGGTTATAATTTGAAAAATAAATATTTTCTGTCAAGTCAAATGGCAACATTATGGAAGCTTGCTACTTATCAAAGCACATAGATCTTCTATAAAAGCACATAAATGCTATATATGCTTTATCACATAAATGTGAGTATGCAAGTTGTGTCCCACACATAAGGACCTAAGTAGGAAAGGTGCCATTTCATAATGGATGCCTGACTGTTCAGCATTAAATTAACTGGAATATTTCAAAATTTTAGAAACATTTCCTTAAAAAAAGAAACAATTAAGCCATCGGAAACCACATACAGAATTACAACTTAGAGTAAACAAAACGTATAGCCAAATTGCACGATTTAGTGCCAATAATGAATAAGCATGATGATGACCCTGGTTTTATGTAAATTTGATTAATTCTTGATCATCAGTTTTTTGTGAAGGATGAAAGTTAACTACTGTTTCTCTCATTTTCAGTTACCTTAGAAAGTCCTCCATAAAGGCATCCCACTCCTTAGGCAGATGGACAGGTGAATGCAGGGCCAGACACAAGGACGGCTTTTTATGACAAATCGGATATCGTCTGGTACCTGTAACCGTTTAGTTGAGCCCTGGTTTTAGGATCCAAAGCGTAAGCAATTGCGCAAGTAGTAGAAAAACTTGATTTCGC